TTGGGTTAGGAATCCTCTGATCCAGGTTAGGAATCCTCTGATCCAGGTTTTGTTAGGAATCCTCTGATCCAGGTTAGGAATCCTCTGATCCAAGGTTGGGTTGGGAATCCTCTGATCCAGGTTCCAGACACCCTTCAGAAATCCCTCCATCCCTTCCCATCCCGATTCCTGGACTGGAAACAGCGGCAAGTTTGGAAATGCTTGTCCTGCTGCCCACCCTGCCTGCCATTCCTTTCCTGCCTGGATTCCACCACAGCTCTTTTTAGGCAGAAGCTTGTCCAAGGATTGGCATTCCCACCTCTTGCAGACACCCCCAAAAGCTGCTGTGACCAAGGGACACCCCCAGAGCCCTGGAGTGAGGACCAGCAGAGCTCAGGGCCTCACAATGGGGCTCTCAAAGCCAATTTGTTGGAGATTTCCTCATCATAAACTGGGAGAAACACCCAGAATTTAATGAGAAGGTTGGTGATGGTGAAGGGGAATGAAAAATCTCACTAAGAGATCACAGAATCATGGAATGGTTTGGGTTGGAGGGACCTTAAAGCCCATCCAGTGCCACCCCTTGTCATGGACAGGGACACCTTCCACTAGCCCAGGTTGCTCCAACCCAGCCTTGGACACTTCCAGGGATCCAGGGGCAGCCACAGCTTCTCTGGGAAATCCATTCCAGCCCCTCCCCACCCTTCCAGCCAGCAATTCCTTCCCAATATCCCACCTAACCCTGGCACTGGGAAGCCATTCCCTGTGTCCTGTCCCTCCATCTCTTGTCCCCAGTCCCTCTCCAGCTCTCCTGGAGCCCCTTTGGGTCCTGGAAGGGGCTCTCAGCTCTCCCTGGAGCATTGACTTCTTGGAAAAGGAAGAAAAGCAAGATCCAGTGACTATAAACACATTATTCCACCTGCCCAAAGGCCTCTCCTCAGAGCCCACCCTGCCCTGAGCGGCTCCTTCTGGAGCCACGTGGATTAATGGGGGACTGTGGGGTGAAGATGCAGAAACCTGGACAAATATCACCCAAATACACCCAACAAACAGGCTCCAAGTCCAACCTAAACACACAGTGAATTCCTAAAGCATCCCATTCATCCAGGGTGCTCCCAGCCAGGACTGTTTTGTGGTGAAAGGTGACCATGTAAATTATTGTCAGACAACAGGGATCCCTCAGATGTGGGAGTTTCCCAACGTGACAACTCAGGAGAGGGATCAGTGAGTGGCATCAGATCACCTGGATGCTCCAAGGGAAGTTCAAGGTCAGCCAAAAGAACTTGGGCTTCCTGCTGGGATCACAGAGATGGGAACTGCTCTGGGCAGAGCCAGACCATAACTGCTTTAGAGCCTTTGCAGCAGACACCAGGCAGCTCCTCTTTTAAAACTGATGGATAAAGAAGAAGAAATCCTGCTCCCTTCCCCTCTCCCAGCCCGGAACAAAAGGGGAACATATTGCAACTGTGCCGAGGGAGAGAGGAGGCTGCTGTCTGTTCCTTTAAATGTAACGTTAATGCCCTGTAATCAGCTTTAATTTTTAAACAGGCCCAGCCCTCCTGTCCATTCCCCCTAATTCGGGACACGTGGAAGGTAAATGGGCTGTGCTGGTGACAGCTGGGGAGCCTCAGTGCCTCGGGACAGCAGGGGACAGGGCAGGGGACAGGGCAGGGGACAGGGCAGGGGACACGGGCAGGGGACACGGGCAGGGCAGGGGAGGTGCTGGAGATGCTGCCAGGTCAGGGACATGGTGCCAGACAGGGCACAGCTCATTTGTGGGTGGAAACTGTCTGAAAGCAACGGGACTGGCAGGAATTCTGGAGGGGATGAAGCAGCCAAGGGCTCGGCAGGGACGCCCTGCCCTGACCAGAGCGGGTCCTTTTTGGGGCTCTGGGAGGGAAGGAAAGGGCAGTGGCTTTGGGGGGGGGGGGAAGTGGCTTTTGGGGACAGCAGCAGATCAAGGCAGGACTGAGCCACTCCTGGTGTCTCCCCAGGGTGCTGCCCTTGTGTCCCAGCTGAAGAGCAGCCTGGGGACTCCACGTGACTCCTGGATGCAGAACAGGGGCACAAAACCCCCCAGGAGGCTCCTGGAGCTCTTCCAGCACCGTCCCCTTTGCCGGGAGGAGAGAGGCCTGTGGCACACCCAGGGTGCTCATCACACACAAAGATTTGTCTCCACGAATCCCACATTGGTTTGGGGTGGAAGGGACCTTAAAGATCATCCAGTTCCAGCCCCGACACCTTCCACTATCCCAGGTTGCTCCAACCTGGCCTTGGACACTTCCAGGGATCCAGGGGCAGCCACAGCTTCTCTGGGCAACCTGTGCCAAGACCTCCCAACTCTCACAGGGGAATTTCTTCCCAATATCCCATCTCACCCTGCCCTCCTTCAGCTCAAGGCCGTTCCCCCTTATCCTGTCATTCCATACCCTTGGGAAAAGCCCCTCTCCAGCCTTCCCACGAGCCCCCTTCACACACTGGAAACGCTGCTAGAGGGTCTCCCCGGGGCCTTCTCTTCCCCAGGCTAAACAAAGTGACTAAACCGAGGTTTCCCCAGCCCAAAAGCCCAGCAGTGCCCGGGAACAGCCGCTATTTTTAGCCGCGGTTGGTGGGCAGACAAATCCTAATCGGCAGCGGAGCCGCCTCGTCATCAGGGCCGAGATCAGGCCGAGCAAAGCCACCCGTGACAGCCCCGAGTCCCAGGGACGGCCTGAGCCCGGCCCTGCCCGGGATTAGTGCCCAGGAATCAGGCAGGGCAGCAGCAAACACCAGCAGGGCTGAGGGGATGGGTGGGAGGGCAAGGCCGAGGCCGCTGGGAATCGGTCCCGCTGGAAGTTTGGGGCAAATGGAGCTGCAATCCTGGGACTGGGGGATGGTTTGGCTCTTGTTCCCACTGGGAAAGGCCTGACTGCTGGGATTGGAGCTG